CTCTCATAAAACACACCCCGAAGAGGGTGACGCGCGGGGGTGGGGGGGGGGGGGGGGGGGGGGGGATCCAATTGCGATTTACTGGTTAAATATTATGATTGCAGTTTAAAATGCAATTTTTTTGTTCTTGTTTGTAGTGCTGCACAATTTGGCTCAAACTTTATATATCAATATGACTAATAATAATTATTATGATTATTAGAATTACTACATAAAAATATTAAAATAAGAAAAATTACTATCGTAACAACACTGTTTAATTATAAAATAATAATAATAATTATTATTATTATTATTGTTTATTTTGCGGAAAACTGCAGGGTGACCTGTTACCATGCTCGTGGCCTACAACTATAAATCATTAGAAGGATCTAATGCCTGGTTCAGACTACACGATTTTAGCCCGATTTTGCCACGATTTGCTTGACGTAGGGTGTCGTGGGGATTCGTAAACGACAATGGGCGTCAGGACGCAAGATTCCATCGTTTCAGCACGTGTAGTGTGTCGTAGTGGACGACAACTGATTCCATCACGTCAGAAAGACTAGCATGTTTAATTTTTTTCCGTCGTCCACGACGAGTTCTGTCACATTGGTGACGTTGACCAATAGCAGCACAGAAGCTCTTTCATACACAGGTTTCAAACATGGCAAAACGAAAGAGAGATGATGAGAATTATGAGATGGAGGAAAGCTTCGTGGAGCTGTGTCAACAGTACTCCTGCCTGTATGATGTGTCATCGAGGAACTACCACGACAGAACAAAGAAAAAGAAATGCTGGCGAGCTATAGCGGAAGCGCTTCAGCAATGTTTACACTCTTGTTTTTGGAAGTCAGTCGCTAGTTCCGCCTTCTCGATGGCATCACACGCGTCGTTAAAGACGGCACGCGATGAATGGTCGGGAAGCAACGTGTAGTCTGACATGTTTCTTGTCCACGACACAAGATTTTAGGAGTCAAAATTTGTACTTATTAAAGTTTAGTATAATATTTCAATCTGACACAGTGACTATAGTGACCAACAAAAATATCGTGTCGTCTGAACCCGGCATAAGGTTTTATATTATGATAAAAATCTGAGACAGCAATGTCTTAATTTGTGTCAGGAGGTATGCAAAATAAAAAATGGAATCCATGCATTTAATGTGAAATATGAGCCTCTTACTGTATGCATCCTCTGAAGAAAAAAAACTCTGTAAACTTCTGTACAATGAAGAAAAACATAACAACAGTGCAACAATATATGATTTTTCCTGTGTTCTTCTATAAGAATAAAGTATATTTATAATGCATAGCTCATTAACATAATATTTATTACAATATAGTATACTATAAAATAATATATTTTCTATCTCATTGATATCACAAATGGACATTATACAGTGAGTTTGGCATGAAACGGTTATTAAATGTTCTCTTTCGTTGAAGTCGAAGTGATCGTGCCGCTCTGATCACATTGCTGCGCTTCATGAAACGTGCTTCGCAAAAAATATCAGCCTTTGCGATTTCATAATTGCACTAAGCCAAATCGCGATTTTAATCCCTCCAGCAGCCCATCTGCACCTCCATCGACATTATTTCTAATGCAACTAATTCTTTAAGCTTCCCAGAGGATCGTATTAATGTAAAATCACTCTTATTACAGTTACACATACTGTAAACGTCCAGAGTGAAGTCAGTCTCATCAGTGTGCTTCTCTGCTGTTCACTAACTATCTTCTGTGTTTCCTCATGCTGTCCATCTAGTGGCCAACATTCTCTGGAGGGAGGAAGGTAAATCTGCTTGATACTCGTGTCCGATTATCTGTCTGATTAATGTTCATGTTGCAAAAACTATAACAAACATTTTGAGAGACACTTTGATAACTTTGTGTGAAATAAATTTATTGCTGAAAGAAATCCAGGCATATTTGAAGCATGCGTTAATGTGCATTAATGTAACAGTAAAGGCACTAGAATGCACAGAAGCTCATGACTTTATTACAGCACACCTGCAGAAACCCAGTTATCAAAGAACTCTCACATGTTTGCTTTGATCATCACATGTCACGTCATAATAGCGGTTTATGTTACACTCTGTCTTGTATGACTAATCACTCAGTGTGTCTTGTGCATACAGAAGGGTTTCTAAAAATGTAGGCCATATGTGACCCTGGAGCACAAAAGCAGTGTTAAGTCGCTGGGGGATATTTGTAGCAATAGCCAACAATACATTGTGTGAGTCAAAATTATAGATTTTTCTTTTATTCCAAAAATCATTAGGATATTAAGTAAAGATCATGTTCCATGAAGATATTTTGTAAATTTCCTACCGTAAATATATCAAAACTTAATTTTTGATTAGTGATATGCATTGCTAAGAACTTCATTTGGACAACTTTAAAGATGATTTTCTCAATATTTAGATTTTTTTGCACCCTCAGATTCCAGATTTTCAAATAGTTGTAACAAACCATACATCAATGGAAAGCTTATTTTTCCAGCTTTCAGATGATGTATAAATCTCAATTTCGAAGAATTGACCCTTATGACTGGTTTTGTGGTCCAGGGTCACATATATACATGTTCATTGATGGAACAACACATTTTGAGTTCAAGTAAATTATAAAACTGGTTTGTTTAGTTTAAAATCTTGTCTAAGGTGGTGAGGGGGATATGTTTTGCATAACATCTCATTCAAAACAATCACTTCAGCAAAGTTTACCGTTTTCTGTATATTTTACAGAATATTTTCTGTTAATTTATGCAGAAAAATATTTAAATATATAAATATTTAAAAATATAATAAAAAAGTAAATATTCTGAAAGCTTTTTACACTGCTTGAGGGAAATCTCTTAATTGTATATGGCTTTACAGTAGTAACAATAAATAGGTTTTATGATCAATTAGTTTTAAATATGATGGTTTCATTATAAATATGGTGATTGTCTCTAAGGTGGACACTAATTTAATAAATGGCATTAACCATCTGAATCCAGTATTATTTTAGTATCATTGAGATACTATTATATTTTCAATTTGCTTTTTTTCTGCTTTCATGTCATGTATTTTAGTTATAGTTTTACAAATTTTATTGTGCATTTTATCATTTTTACAAGTGTTTGATGTTTTTAAATCTTTACATAGTTTTTATTAATTTAATAATTCATTCTGTTTTAATTGTAGTCATTTTAGTACATCAAGTTAAAGTAAATTGTTAACCTGCTGAAATAAAATGTGTAAATTTTTTTGTTCAATATGCTAACTGTAATAACCCTGTCTGAATCCAACCAACAAATAAAAAAGTCAGGCATCTGATTATTATCATGTAAATTATTGTGCCTTTGGCCCCAACAGCAGAGGTGCTTTTTACCACAAATACCACACTTTTACATATTCTTCCATTATTGAATAACTCTTGATTTAATCTTGAACAAAACTGAAAATCAACAACAAGACCTCTGTCTCAAAATTGCTAATTTTATTGACTATTGTTTGCTACACACCCCGATGCAACTTTAGTCGTGTTTTAGCCTATGTGTGACATTTGATTAGTCTCCAGCTTAAGCTGTTTAGATATTAAAGGGGTCATATGATGCTGCTAAAAAGAACATTATTTTGTGTATTTGGTGTAATGAAATGTGTTTATGTGGTTTAAGGTTCAAAAAACACATTATTTTCCACATACTGTACATTATTGTTTCTCCTCTATGCCCCGCCTTTCTGAAACACGTCGATTTTTACAAAGCTCATCGGTCTGAAAAAGCGAGGTGTGCTGTGATTGGCCAGCCATACAGTACGTTGTGATTGGCCGAATACCTCAAGCATGTGATGGAAATGTTACGCCCCTCACCATACTGTGATGATGCCGTGTCCGGCCGGAGCGACGAGACAAAACCATTAAAACCCATTATAAACTGTGAGGAATGGCGGGAGGGTTAGAGTGAGCAGAGGCAGTGGGCTTGAGAACGGCGCAGCCTGCGATTTCGACGAAGGAGCGTCCGGAAGGACATGTGACGACTCCTGGCTGGACTCCGCTTCGTCCACGGTGAAAGCCGATCCGGCGATCCACAGCACAAAGTTGTAGTATGTCCTCAACGACCAGCACAGATCAGCTCCAGGCATGACGAAGCAGATATCATCCTCTTTTGGAAGACCAAACAAAGTAGTTTCGCTTTCACAACGAAGCACACAGCGTCTTTACAACATGGCGGCGGAAACAACAAAACTACAGCGAGAATAAAAGTTACGCCTTCTTTCTTTGCGTGAACATTTGGGCGGCGTTATGCAAATCATCCCACATCATGATGTAGATATGTGGGGGCGTGTTAGAACGAGACGTGTTAGGTAGGTGTGGCTGACTCTTAACTTTGATAAAGAATATCTCTTTGGATTTGAGACTTTAGTCTTTGCAACTTTACAGATCTTCTTTATGCACCAAGAGCTTGTAACACTCCAAAGAGAAAGGAAAACTTGAAATCGCATCTTATGACCCCTTTAAAATTCAAGTCTTACACAGTATTCACAACACAGTCTCATGACAGTTTTAAATTTTTTTGCAAATTGGTAGCGATTACGACCTGCTCACACCCCGCTCCGAAGTTCAGCTACATGCTTACTTTTTTTATACAAATTATACACACTTCTACAGTACATGCCCCATCGAAGCCCCTTTCCACCACTGAATAAAAGATACAAAAGGTAACTGCAACTTTTTATCTCATAATTCTAACTTTTACATATCGCAATTTTGACTTATTTTCTCAGAATTCATCCACAATTGTGAGTCAAAGTCATGTGTGATGCAATTGTATGGAAGGCCGTTTCTGCCACTGACTTAAAATAAAAAAGAGGTAATTACGATTTTCTCACAATTGCAATTTGCATCTTGCAATTCTGACTTTATTTCTCAGAATTGTGTGATATAAACCCCGCAATTCAGATGTTCTTTTTCAAAATTGTGAGATATACCCAGAGGAAAAATGTATTGCTCAGTGGTGGCTATTCCTAAGCTCAGGAGACTTGGATGAGATTCTCATATAAATCTCTCATTTTAGTATCAACAGATGTTTCAACTAAAATTCCTTAGGAGAAATAGAAGTAGACACAAATGAGACTTGAGAAATATTTGAGAGAAAAAAAAGAAGAGTCTTTTGATTTTTCTATCCTAAACTCGCAATTGTTATAAAGCTAGAAGTTATAATTGTTATAATTTGTAAAGTCAGAATTGTGGGATATAAAGTTGCAATTTGTGTGTTATAACCAAGCGGCAACCTCCCGCTCTCTCTCTCGAAAAGAAGTCAGAATTGTTAGATATAACCTGAAATTGCAAGAAAAAGAATTCAGAATTGTGAGACAAAAAGTCGCAATTACCTTTATGATTTTTGATTTAGTGGCAGAAACGGGCTTCTACACAAATCAGTGCCTGCGGATGATCATTAGGAGCAGTCATCCACCATCTCGACCGATGGAGATGACCGCCAGCACTGATCACATGCAGCTTACCTGCAACTGTGTGTTTTTACACCTTCTGCTTCCTGACAGCATGACAACTCTGTGCTGCCGCTCCACTGATGTGACCACGCTAATTAGCAGCTGTTGTTTGCTGCCAGCTGACAGACCTGCAAATGCACTTTTTGGAGAGGTTTCAGGAGATTTTAATAGTCTCTGCTGTCTGACCGTATGACAGCTGCATTGTTTGATGCCGTGGCACACCGTTCGCTGTTGTTCTCTCTGAGGGAAGAGTGTGCATGTAATGGCGTGTGCGATGTTGTGTGTGCTTGCAGGGCTCAGTGTGGGGAACATGTTCTACGTGTTCTCCAGCGAAGGGATCACCGTACTGCAGCCCGGCAACTGTGAGATTCGCAGACGCATCCCACGGACAGAGAAGATTCTGGGTAGTTATGTAAGTGCTGGTTCAAACCCAAAATAAAAGACAGTAATAGGAGTATTTATTATGTTTAATGCCAATGAAGCTTGAATGTTTTAGGACTGTTTGTTAAGATTATTTTCACATTCTTCAACCCCCAAAGTTCCTATTGCTGCAAAAACAAAACATTATCATTAGTTTAATATACTACTGTTCAAAAAATAAAGATTAGTCAGATTTTTTGGTGACACTTTACGTAAAGCCTTTATGTACAATGCATTATAAAAGTGTTTATAATGTATATTGTAATGCATTATCTTTTCATAATTAATTGTTGCCAGTTTCAATGCATTATTGCAATGCATTTGAAGGTTTGTTTGTCATGTGTTTCAATGTATAATACTTTCTAAAGGTGCAACAATGAATAGGTAAGTATTATAATGTATAACTGTAGTCATAATTATTAATGAGATCATACAATGTATTATAAGGCATAATGCATAAAAAAAATTATAATGCATTATATGGCTTTCAGTACAATGTTGTTGATTTTTTTAAATAAATTAATACTTTTATTCATTTTAAATTGATCAAAAGGGACAGCAAAAGACATTTATAATGTTACAAAAGATTTCAATTTCAAATTAAATGCTGTTCTTTTGAACTTTCTATTCAACCGTGAATCCTGAAAAATAGAATGTATCACGGTTTCAAAAAAAAAATATATGAAGCAGCACAACGGTTTTCAACATTGATAATAATCAGAAATGTTTCATATTAGAATGATTTCTGAAGGATCATGTGAGACTGAAGACTGGAGTAATGATGCTGAAAATTCAGCTTTGATCACAGGAATAAATTACATTTGAACAGATATTCACATAGAAAACAGTTCTTTTGGATTGTAATAATATTTCACAATATTACTGTTTATACAGTCATTTTTGATCAAATAAATGCCGCTTTGGAGAGCAAAAGAGAAAAAAATTGTAGTGCATCTACATCCAGATGCTTTGTTTAAACAATATTATTGTCATAAAGTAGTTAAATAAGAAAATAAATTGTTTAATAATCACGAATAGGTGCAAAACATAATTTCTTATTCGGTTCTTTTCATTTGGAGGTGAACATGTTTTGACATTCTTAAAAACAAAGGTCTCATTTTTTCGCAGTGATGCCATAGAAGAACCATTTTTGGTCCCCAAAGAACCTTCCAGTGAACAGTTCCTAAAAGAACCATTTCTTTTTAGTGTGAAGCTCATTTTAATAATCTAAAGGGCTTTTTTGTACTATAAAGAACCTTTTGTGCAGTGGCCATGTTCCATGGATGTTAAAGGTTCTTCATGGAACCATTAACGCCAATAAAGAACCTTCATTTTGCAAGTGCACAGACAAAAACATTGGTTCAAGCACGTGTCCATATTTTCCCTGCAGGACGAACTGTGTCCCAGAAGCACGGAGTGTGTATGGGCGTCAGCGGTCAGTGTGAGGGACAAGTACGTGTACGTGTCTCAGCCGCTTCAGAACAGACTGCTGCTGATCGACACACAGGCGCAGAGAGTCGTGCAGGTGAGGGCGCGTCCGTCTTCAGCCAAACTCAACTCTCATATCTCATTAGAGTTCCCAATAGCCGTCATCAGTGCTGGGTCGATCACTTACTGTTACCGATTCCAGATTACATGACAAAAATTGTAGTCAGTAATGTAATCCATTACACATTTATGTAATATAATCAGACTCCTTTTTGATTGTTTTTAGATTACTTTTGACCTAACTAGTTTATCAAAATGAAAACAAACTCACTATAACTAAAATTAAGATACAAATTGAAAATATAAAAATAAAAACTGATTCAAAATAATAATAAAAACTATAGTATCTCAATAATACTAAAATAACTCTGCCATGTTCTGACATTTTTCAAATCTATCTAGAAACATTACAAGGTTTGTCTGCTCGGTAATCAATACTTGAAAACTAGAAATATAACAACCAGTGCTAAGTCATATTTAATGATGAGTGAGAGCTTTTTCATTCATGAATCAAACAGTACTGTAAGTTTCTCAGCATCGATGGCTGTGGATCACAAGGCCACGGTAAATCACATGACTGATATTCAGAGCACTTCAGACTGCGAATGTGCTGTTTCACACAGATCAATGAGCAAGCAGCTAATACTGAGTAGCTTACATTTACACACAGTTTTGCTGGTCTGTTTTTGCTTCGACAATGAAATTGGTTTAAAAATAATTTGATGAAGGAAACGTCTAGGTTACTTGTGTAACCCTCGTTCCCTGAAGGAGGGAACGGAGACGTTACGTCAGTGACTGACGAATTGGATCCACTGACGTAACGTTGAACGTGACTGACTGAATGGGAACTCAGAGACTCAACGGTTGGCTCTGCTCTGGCTTCATTTGGAGCTTACATTCATTCTGAAAGTGTTCGCAGTGAAAGTGCACCCTTTATTATGACATTGCCAAAATAAATCACAGTGAGTGCTTCACTCATAACAAGCAAACTGGATGAATTTCCCCTCTTGTGTTGGAATGACAGGCTGTGGAAACGGACGCCATGCCCGTCAAACTCTTCTACGACAAATCTCACGATCAGCTGTGGCTGTTGAGCTGGAGAGACCTGCTGAAGTCCCGCTCTACACTGCAGGTGACACTCACAAAGCCTGAACTGTCTACATGGAAAATATTGTTTCTAGTTTTGGGCTGAATTATGATTCATCCAGTTCGTTCCTAAAGACTCTCAAGTAAATTAGAGCGCTCACATATTCATTGGGGTTATGAGAGGCTGTTTATCTGCTAACACTCTGTATAACACATTCAGGTCCGTTTTGACCTTAAAGAGATACATAAAAATGTCTAAAAATGCTTAGTTTTTAGTAATGGAACAAAACTTTGCAAATGCTTTCAGACCCTCAATATACTTTTTTGTTTGTTTGTTTTGTTTTTTTCCCCCACATTTCTTAGTGAGAGAGAGAGAGAGAGAGAGAGAGAGAGAGAGAGAGAGAATCAGTTTTTTTTATTACTTTTTAATTATTACAAAAAGGGGGTAAATGCAGTAATATCATGGTAACATTCACTTTCACTCATTAATGAGAAGCTGCTGATTGGATACAATGATCTTTATTAATCTTTGAATCTTAAGTTATGACTGTTTTAGTAAATAACGATTGTTTGGGTCCAAATGGACCCGAAATGTTGAAAATAGTATACAGATTTTGAATGCATTATGAAGATTAATTTCACACTGTAAAAAAAAAGATTTTTTAAATCTTTGTAAACAAAGATGTATGTTGAGTTGAGTATGTTTTACAAGAAAATACCATTTCAATTTTTCTACTTCACAATTTCACGTTTAATTCAGTGTTACGTGAGATTTCTTTGCAGTTGTTTACACAGCAGTTTACTAGCAGTTTCTGAATGAAAATAGATTCTATACTTTTTCAGTGCAGTTCACTGTCAGGTAGGGCTCCTGACTCGAGCTGCAGGCGAATAAGACGCTTTCTGTGGCATGAAGAAAATTTGCCCACTTCCCGCTTTATTCTTTGCCAGGTTTGATCTCGACTGTCCTCATATGTCAGCGCACACGTCTGATAAACACACAGCCTCAAAGACAGAGCAAATGAAAGGCTTTCTATTTAACAAACAATGTGTAATTCCAGCCCCCATACACATGAATAATTCATGTTTTATTAAATAGCGGGAAAGTCCTCAGGTGTGTTTGCTTGTTCAGCATGCCCACAGAATAATGAAGGCGTTCGCTATGAATCACTCAGAAATGCTAAAGAGCACTTTTAGAGGGAAGCTGCATAATCAGCTGCACGGGATATGGATTCACACCACAAATAAACAGCTTGATAATATTCGACTCATTTCGAATGCGAGTAATTGACCCGGGCACGGGCAATTTGTCGGGCCTGGAGGCAGTGCTCAGCTCGAGAGGTGAAATATCAAACCCATTTTTTAAATGGCTCAGAACATCTGAGTCAAACATCTGAACCTGTTTGTCAGTTCATTAGATTAAACAAATGAGGAGAGATAGAGCCGCATGTGTGCGCTTGGCTCTGATCCTGCACTCATCACATTCACAAATTAAGAACTCATCGTTTGCATACATAATCATCTGCACTGGCCACTTGTTATGAAGCCAACAGTGGCTTTTTTAATCAACTTTCTAAGCGCTTTTAATATAATCATTGTGAATTCTAAACTTAACTTCCAATAACATTATACTTTTTGGTAGTATCTGTTGGGTAACAAGTGAATGTACTAAAACCTTTATTAATATAATGTAAGGTGAGTGTCTAATAGCAATCCCATATTTGCCGTTTCATAATTGCCTTATTATATAAAAATTGTTGTAAATACATTAAATATCCTATAACACATATGGCATGGAAAATGCCTTTACAAAACTAAATGTGCTTCATTTTAGTGAATGTGCACTTGTAGTGTACTTAAAAGTATGTTTAAAAAAAACTACTTGAAGATATTAATGAAATGTGCACTTAAAGAGAGTTCACTTTCATGTCTGTTTCTTAACACTCTTAAGTACACTTTTAAAATGTGCACTTTGTTAAAATGCGACCAGAAAAGAAGCGAGGTGTCACCTTCAGTATGATACATGATAATTAACTATAAAGGGAGTAGGGAAAACATTATAGACATGATTAAACACTTGGCATGAAGGCCGTATGGCAGTATTACACCACTACAGAAAATTCATAAATTATATTATTAATAAACAGTACATTCATGAATGCTATTATATACTGTATATACACACACACATATATATCTATCAAAGCAAGAGTCATTGGAGATCTTTGATCTTTTTCTGCTTAGTCTAGTCAGATTTAGGCATAGTTGTACTGTAATTATATAAATATTTAAATTATATAAATCATTTTTTTAATTATTATTATTAGTAGTAGTATTATATGAAATGTTATCATTAAATACTTTACCGTTCAATAGAATTAAGTATCAATAATAAAAATAATACATAAAAACATTATTAATAATAATAATAATACAAATTGCAATGATTTTAATTAAGTTTACACAATTTTTTCTGCCTGTTTTTAATGAAAAATGACACATACAGTTTCATAGCCGGTTTATTTTCTGAAGTCACCAGCCATTGGCCCCGGTTGTAATGTTCTTTTCACTCTTTTCCATTTTTTAAGGTGATCACTTCTGCCAGCGCGGTGGAGCAGAGTCAAATCATCCGTACTCCATTTGAAAGAGTGGAGGACTTCTACATCCCTCCCACCAACCTCATTATCACCCACGTAAGGTACGAAACGATCGTCACTGCTCAGTGTGCATGACCTCTGCCAGATTTTCCACATAATTCTTCCAAAAATGGGAAGCGAGCAAATGACGGTTGTAATTAAAAGTGCAACACTTAATAAATCTGCAGAAAGATCATTAACCTGTCTTTGACCATTGTCATCTCAGGTTTGGCTTTGTCTACTTAAAATCGGAGCCTGCGGTGCATAAAATCGACCTTGAGACCCTCCGTCTCATCAAGACCATCAGTCTGAAGAACTACAGCTGTATCCCAGCCAGCATGGCCTACACTCATTTAAGCGGCTACTATTTTATCGAGTGCCAAGTCGAGGACCGTTCGGGTCCGAGCTCACAGCTTCTCATCGACAGTGTAAGCGATGCGGTCATTGGACCCAATCCCAACATCAACGGCCAGCCATTCATCTCTCCAGACGGCCGCTTCGTCGTCTCCGTGGACAAGCGGCACGGAAAGCTCCAAGTCCAGACCGTCTCCTTCAGCGGCGAGCTGCGGACGAGCCATGAAGCGGACGTCTCGACTCCCCTCGCAGACTTGGAGTTTCAGCCGTCCTTCACGGAGGCAAACCAGTACGTGGTCGTGGCCTCTTCGTCCCAGGGCTCGAAGCTAGTTTTCTCGGACCTGGCATCGGGAAGAACGAAAGCCCTGGAGAACGTCAAGGATCCGATCCCGGCCACTAGCTGGCCTTGGGGAGACGCCAATAGGGTGGTGGTCTCCAGCGGGGTGTTTGGATGCTACTTGGTCACGTCAGCGGCCGAGTCCCTGTTCGTTCTGGATGGCAAACAGAGCGGCCCTCACTGTGAGGTGTCAGACGTCAAGAGAGGGAACACAGTCAATTCTGTCCGAGCACAAACTTTAGTTTCATTAAAGTATTCCTACATTGATGTATTACATTCAAACACGCAGCCCGAGAATAGAATAGCAAACAACAATGAAAGAAAAGTATATTCTTGTTAAATAAAAATCCACTGTGCTAAATAAAAACTCATCTGGTGCATCAGATTTTTAAAAGGCAACAGAAAACATTCAGTAAATTCGACACATGAACCAAATTAGAGCACTGTTGCACTGAACACACTATCATCACTACTGAGACGACCGCAAGCACAGCTTTAAATCACCCTGTTTGAGACAAAATGGCTAAATTGGCATTTCAATGTGCGTTCAAGCTCAGTCAGATATGCATGACTACAATATTACTTTAGAAAGCCAGATGGTTAGACCTCAGTGAACATTAAACTGGACACAGATACGATCAATTTAAGGCCCAAACAAATCTAATTAAACTCAGTGGGCTAACAATCAATGAATAAATGAGCTCTGCATACAGTATATTAACCATAGAGCGATTTGAGTTTTTGTCCTGTATGTCTGGCTTTTAAAGGGATAGTTCACCCAGAAATTAAAATTGGCTGTTAATGTACTCATCCTCAGGCCATCCAACGTGTAGGTGACTTTTTTCTTCAGTAGAACATTAAGATTTTTAAGTGAAATTGTGGTCCTTTGTGATTCATAATATGCAAGTCAGCAGTTACCGGCACTTAAATAAATAAAAAAAGCATATCAAGGAACACAAAATGAATCCCCGTGGCTCCTGATGATATATTGAAGTCTTATGAAGCAAAACGATCAGTCTGTGCAAGAAACTGAACATTATTTACAACATTATTACCTGTAATCCAGACTCAGGCAACTAGAACCAGTTCACCAAATCGTACAGAATAAAAACTTCTCAAAATATCATCAGGAGCCACGAGTATTAATTTTGTGTTTTTTTTTACTCTTAAGTGCCGGTAGCCACTGACTTGCATTTTACGAATCACCAAGAACCACAGTTTCAGCTAAAAATCTTCTTTACTGTTCTACTGAAGAAAAAGGTCACTTACATCTTGGATGGCCTGAGGGCGAGTAAATTAACAGCAAATTTTCATTTTGGGGTGAACTTCCCTTTAAGGACTGAGTCAGAAAGCTGGATTTAGTCCCAGCCATTGTTTACTCAAAGCAGTGGGTCCGATTTATGGAGGAAATTAATTTAAAAGTTTTTAAGTTAGTTGCGGGAAAAAAATTATCTACATTAAAAGTGGTTTCAAAATCATGTCGCATAAATCTGTTGTTTGTTCAAGACTAAACTAGCTGCACACATTTTGTACAATAATACAGTATTTCCTGCACATAATATGCTGTCCTTTTACAATGTCTGCATTATGCGTGTATGTGTGTGCATGTATTATTTGTTCACAGTTCTTTTTAGCACTGAAATGCCAGCCTGACTTTTGCCAATGAGGCAGAAACGAAGCATCTTGTGCCTCATTGAGTCACATTTAAGTCCACATCCATTTGTCTTCATTATACTCTATTGTCCCCAGACTGTTTCAGCCTGTTCTTGTCCTCGTCATGTACATTTGTTTTTTTCAGTGTGTTATAGACTTGTTCAACACCTCAATCGCTGTTTATGTGCGTCATTAAAACATTTATTATTGTGTTTACCTGAACTGCTGGCAAACTTGAGGCACATGAAGTGCTGTAGCCATTTGCGGTTGCTAATCAAAAGGCCAAGAACCAAAGGCTTTATTTGTTCATTTTTAACTCTTCATTTAGATTATTTATTTATCTGATTTATTCCGATATTTTACTTAACTGAGTGCATTTTTAAATGATTAACAGTATAGCTGTCATGATGTTGGTGTATTTGTTCTGACATGCACCCTCATGCCGGCTTTTATTGCCTAATTCTGTGTGTGTAAGATTTGTTTCTGCCAAAGTACATTGTGTATGGTGAATAAAACCTGGTCCTTAAGTGTGTAAGTTACCACCACTTATTCACATGAATATTACACCAAACACTCTTTCAAACATTTACATTTCAATCATGACAAAATGCCAAGGGCCTAAACTCAATAACGAGAAATTATTTATTTACATGTTTGTATTTGTTTATTTGAAGTAATCTTTAACAGTCTTTGTGCTGGTTAATCTATATCTCTATGCAACACTTTTTTCAGCATTAAGGCAATAACTGTTGAAATATTGATGTTTTGCAACTGAGTAATGGCAGTAATTGCTACTTTTTTGACGATTGATTGATTGATTTTTGTCTTTTCTTGTAGTGTAACGGACCACACCAGCAAAGATCTCATCTAGTTCTCAGCTTGTCTCGTGGTCAAGCAGCGCCATGTTTTGTTCATTTGTGTGCGTGTCTGTGTTATGTTAATTTGATTTAATACGTCGTAAAATTGTGAAATGTTACACTTTTCAGAAAGATAGTGGCTTTACTTAATTCACAGATGTGCTTCATGGGATGTAGAACAAAGTTGAAATTTCATGGTCATAATTTTAGTAGACTAAGTATGTGTTAACCTGTAACAAACAAAAAAAATAAAAAAATTCTCCAACAGATTCCTGAGATCCGGATACACCCAAGTGATTTATTAGCATTGGTTGTATAGATACCTTTATTGTATAATGTAAATATAGTGTTGCCTGGGATATATATATATTTATTCCAGTTTTACAATAAAAGATGAGACCAGAACTATTCGCAGTGTGTGACTTTAATGAAATTAAAATCTTTGTTAGAAACAAATACGCTTAGGAAAAAATGTCACAGTAAGTTATGAACCTTTCATTCTTTGACAGTGTACTTTTTTCTTAAATGCAAGTTATGTATAAATTTCAATTCTACTATTTTCACCCAAAATGTTAAAAATGTGCTGTTAATTTACTCGTCCTCAGGCCATCCAAGATGTAGGTGACATTTTTTCTTCAGTAGAACATTAAAGAAGACTTTCAGCTGAAACCGTGGTCCTTGGTGATTCATAAAATGCAAGTCAGCGGCTACCGTCACATGAGTCAAAAAAGCATTTCAAGGAACACAAAATTAATACCCGTGGCTCCTGACGATATATTGAGGTCTTATGAAGTGAAATGATCAGTCTGTGCAAGAAACTGAATATTATTTACAACATTATTGCCTGTGATCCAGAGCCTCAGGCAAACGGTCCGGAGTGATGTCTGGTTTGCGAAACTGGTTGAACTGGTTCTTTTTATGCCGAGTTCACACTGCATGATTTTAGCCCCGATTTTCACTTGCCGACAGATTTTGCAAAATCGCTGACAAATTCGTGAAATCGGAGGCAAATCGGTACTCATTCACACGAGTCACAATCACGTAGTGTGAATTATCAAAGACGCGATCTGAGAGAATCACAGATGACCGTGAAATATTTGCCATGCTATATATCTGGACCTGTTGGCGATTTAAAATCCTGCTGTGTGAAATGAGTTCTGACTGAAAAATACATTGGCGATGACCTACAGCCAATGAGAGAGCAAGATACAGGGCCACGGGAAGTTCAGGGAGGAGTTATTTCCTCATCACTTCTTGCGTGTGTTTGGCTGTGAAGCAGACAGAGTTGTCGGCGATTCTTCCTATTGTGAAGTCATGCAGTGTGTAACCTCCTGTCGCCGATCCATTGTGCAGTGTGAACACAGCAGCAACTGAATGCTACCCCAGATAGTCGTGCAGTGTGAAAACGGTGGTCCAATGACTTTAAAAAAAAAATCATGCAGTATGAATCAGTCTCATGCAGCTCAGATCTACAAGTTACTCAATCAAAACTCACTTTCAGACACCTGACAGTCACCGTGACTGGATATGAGCATGCGTTTATTCACGTTATATGTTTTAGACCTGCAAAACATCCACTTTTCACATCATTATTGGGTGCTTTAATAACATAATTGTGCAAATGTTACATCATGATTACAAAATCAAACTGGTGAATCAATTATTTGAATCAGTCCATTACAACAAACTGTCCAAAAAAAAAAAACAGTTCGTGGAAAATAATCAGATTTCTCCATTTGCCTAGTCTGGATTACAGGTAATCATGTTGTAAACAATATTCAGTTTCTTGCACAGAGTGATCGTTTCGCTTCATAAGACCTCAATATATTGTCAGGAGCCACAAGGATTCATTTTGTGTTGACTGACATGCTTCTTTTTTTTTTGACTCTCAAAGTGAAAGTAGCCGCTGACTTGCTTTTTATGAATCACCAAGGACCACAGCTAAAAAAAAAAGAAAATCTTCTTTACTGTTCTACGGAACTCACCTACATCTTGGATGGCCTGAGGCTGAGAAAATTAACAGCTAATTTTCATTTTTGGGCGAACTTTCCCTTTAAGGGTTAAAATCTGAAACATTAAAATTGAAAGCACAAATGCATTGAGGATGTAAATTTGAGAATCAAACATTTAATCTATTGGTTCATTGGTGTGTTATTGTTCAGGCTTTAAATTCGAGATCTAATAGATGTTTAATTGCACATAAAGATCATTCTGACAATGATTATCTGAACATCTTGACTGATGAATGGCTTCTACACAGAGGTCAGCATTGACAACCTGCTAAAATCTCACTTCATGGTCTTGATAAGGGCATGTGAAGCCTTCCTTTACTCCAGCTCAGCTTAATCTATACGCTTTAGTGTTCGACACACTCCTCAATCTGAAGTAATTATTCACAACAACTCGCCAGTGAAAGATGCTGTCAATAGGCCATCCATCACTGTCGCTGCGGACACACGGGCCGCTTCCTTGCAAATAAATCTCCAGTGTGAGCTTTTTCACGGTAACCTGGAGTGCTTTCTCTGATCAGCTGAGAAAGTACACTAAAAAGACAGATGGCGTTGAAGTCTTTAACAGTTGAGCACATTTCCTTCCCAGAATCTCCTTATTGTTAAAAAAAAAATAATGATATATAACTTTTGTACTGTTATTACACATCTTTAATCGGAGTTTAAATGCATATGATATTGCATATTTATTAAATAACACAGTTATATTGAAATAATTTTGTAGTGAAATTTGAGATTACTTGTCAGGGGTGGAAATTTTTTAACTGGGTGGCGTGTTAGTTTTTATTTTGTTTAAAGATTTTTTTTTTTAGTACTGCCCTCCAGAAGCTACATAAAATGCTTACATGTTTCCCAAAAGACAAAGTCTCTTAATGCATGTTCCTTCTTGAGCATTAGTAAATGCTTTTCACCTTTTGTAATAGTTGTGTACCTTCCCAAGAGTACCTTAATTGTCCTCAGTGTGAAAAGATGGATGTCAAAATCATACAGACACAGCTGGAAAGGGTTCAAATAGGCAGAAGATGCTGGAAAACCAAAGAATGTACAGAACATGGAGGATTTTTCTGAAGAACAGCAGGCAGTTGAACTGATCAGGACAAACAAGGGACTCATGAACAACTATCACAAAAGCAGTCATGGAACATTGAGGGGAGAAAAAAAAAAAAACGGATTAAGATTCAAGAGGATGTAAACTTTTGAACGGGATCATTTTCATAAATTATTTTGTCTTGTGGACAACCCATGCTCATTGAAAATACATGCTTGTGGCAATGTTTCTGCAACACTGATATTACACGTTTCATGGCAGTTTCAAAGGGAAATGTCCAGTGAGTAGTGTTAAAACGTTAATGCTCGATCGTGTGGGAAAATAAAATACACCCTACACCAAACATACATATAATATATGTGTGTGTACCATGTATATATAAAGACACACAGGATATATTTAAAATACAGTCTCATGTATATATTTATATAAATTATATCATATTCTGTATGTGTCTTTATATATACACAGTACACACATTATGTAAACAAACTTATTTTGGATGCGATTAATCATTTGACAACACTAATATATATACACACACATACCTCTTTGTTAAAATTATTAACTTATGGTTTTTTTTAATGGGGTATGTAAACATTTGAGAAGAACTGTAAATGGGATGTTCTAGCCTACAGAAGATTGTGCTTGTGCCAGTTGCAATTGACGAGCGTTAGTAATGTTTATTCTAGACTTTTTAAAAAGTTATATGCAACAGTTTATGGGATAGCCCGGGCTGCGAAATATACATCTGTTGTATCCTTCATAGGCCAAGAAACAAAGGATGCATTGCAAGAGGTGTAAAGTATTTGAGTAAATGTACTTGTATCTTTTTGGATACTCTGTAGTTTTACGGAGCATCAAAGATATTAGCAACTTTTACTCTCTACTTCACTCCATTTTTGAATAAGTATCTGTACTCTTTCCTCTACTACATTTGTAATGAGTGTTGCAATTACACATTACATTGTGTATGTTGTAATAATTTACTTATTTGTAAGGGAATTAATCATTATTAATTCATTCAGGTTTATTTCTAGCTCAGGTTTTAATTTTTACACCATTTCTGGGTTAAAAGGTACTTGGAACAGCATTTACTTTACACTATTTGAAATACGGTTTCAAAAACAATAACTTAAATTATAGGGGGAAAAGCAGATTTCTTGTACTTTATTTAAATGGTTGCTGTTTGCCTATTATTATTATTAATAATAAGTCACCATATTTGTGGATTTACCAAAAAATCCTCTTAAAAGAGCCAGGGTGGGGGTGGGGGTGGAAATTTTTTAACTGGGTGGCGTGTTAGTTTTTATTTTGTTTAAAGATTTTTTTTTTTAGTACTGCCCTCCAGAAGCTACATAAAATGCTTACATGTTTCCCAAAAGACAAAGTCTCTTAATGCATGTTCCTTCTTGAGCATTAGTAAATGCTTTTCACCTTTTGTAATAGTTGTGTACCTTCCCAAGAGTACCTTAATTGTCCTCAGTGTGAAAAGATGGATGTCAAAATCATACAGACACAGCTGGAAAGGGTTCAAATAGGCAGAAGATGCTGGAAAACCAAAGAATGTACAGAACATGGAGGATTTTTCTGAAGAACAGCAGGCAGTTGAACTGATCAGGACAAACAAGGGACTCATGAACAACTATCACAAAAGCAGTCATGGAACATTGAGGGGAGAAAAAAAAAAAAACGGATTAAGATTCAAGAGGATGTAAACTTTTGAACGGGATCATTTTCATAAATTATTTTGTCTTGTGGACAACCCATGCTCATTGAAAATACATGCTTGTGGCAATGTTTCTGCAACACTGATATTACACG